TTTTTTGTTTTAAAGCCTTATGGGGAAGCGTTTGTGTTTGAAAAGCCAACACAGAATTATCAAGATATGATCCCACCCAAATTCTAAGCGGTGAAAATTTGGGCACTGTTTTCTTTTCAGTTTCTCAATTCATGCATGTGCCATAAATTCTACTTACAGTACAGTAAGAAAAATAAGTATGTAGATAAAATAATTAATGATACTTAACAGGAACACACTGTAAAAACAATATGATACAAGGCCATTATGCACAGTAGAAGAAATAATTACACAAGCTTAACCTATTCAGTAGTCTGCTGTTACCCCAATCTGCAAATCTCTTGCTTTTAGATTACAGCATAAATTAACCAGTTATGGCAACAACTGTATGACCAAGGGCAAAATATGAAGTTGTTTAAGTACTCTAGTTATGCTGTCAAATGAGAATAAAAGTACTTCCTAACTTCATAAGGGTATTGTGAGGATAAATACATTAAATATTGAGAAAGGCAGACAGTTGTATGATGGATGTGCCCCATACATTTAATAATATAATCACATGTTCAAAATCATGTTACAGCAGCTCAGCTAAATACCGTTCAGTGCTGTCTCCATTGCTGACCAAAGGAATCTCATAGCCTTGGGGAATCTTCTTTAGGCAGGACTCGTTTTCATAACACTTTACAAAGGTGACATCAGATACTGTGTTTTACCTTATGACGGGAGCAGGCAAACAGTGAGTGCATGATCAGCTATGGCAGTTCAGCTGCCAAGCAGCAACTTGTTAACTCACCATAACTCAATCAATAGTCAATTGTTTGCCCACAGCCTCGGGCTGCAGACAGACATTTGGTCTGCTAACAACTGTGCCAGATGAAGACATTACTATTCCAAGCTATTTTTTATCACACATCTGCTGGAGATTATCATCTCCACAGCTCTGCTGGAAGAAGAAATCATGTGAGCTCTCACTAATATGGTTTGTACAAAACCAGCCAATTTAATTTAAATAGGTGAGTTGAGCTAACCAGGCTGGTTTTGTCTGAAGCATATTAAAACATGCAGACAAGAAAACTTCTTTAGTGGTGAAAGAGTACGGTGAAAACAAGGAAGAATTAACACCTATACGCAGTGTAGCTGGATTGAGAAGGGGATTGCTCCTGTCCTAATGCAGAGATAATGTAAACAGAGAACTTTTTCAAGGCTGTAAGGGAGAAATCAACGCAGCTTCTAAACCAGCATTATTTAGTGCTGGTTATATAATTTAAAGAACGGGAAAATACATCTTTTTAGATTAAACCTTATCTGTAAAGGTATCATAAATAGATGCATATTTTTAAATATGTCAGATACAGAAGAACACACGTGCTGACGTACATCAGCATAACATTATCTAGGTTCTAAGTGTTGTGGTGCAGGACTGTCCCTCTCCTTGGTTCATGAGTAGCCATATCAACAGATCTCAACAATCCAATTATCTTGCCACTGGTAAAAGTTCAAGTTAGTTTATAGAGGACTGGCTCATTATTATTAACTTTGACAGAAGAAGCCTAAGATAAGCAACACAGTATAGTCAAGCTCACCCAGAAAGTATCAGTATTATTCCACCACAGACAGCTGCAGACCACTACCAATGCTTAGAGCTCCACATTTTTCTGATGCATTGGCAGAGTAAATTATTTCACAAGTGACTGATCTAATGCAATATGGGTATTTACATGTTGTCTTCGCGCTGAGACAAGAACTGGGTTCAGCCATCCAAAATGGATTAAGAAAACTCAAGGAAAGATAGAAAAACGTGTGTACATGTGTATCTCTTACCATACAAAAACCAGATAAAAGGTCTTCCAGAACAGAAAACTAACAAAGTTGTGTAAAAACTATACAAAGAAAGACCCGGAGAAACCCAGTCTTGCAATAAAAGCAGATTAAACTGTATTATGGAAAAGTACAATAATTTTATAGAATGTCCAATACTTATCTGCTGCTGCTGTGCTACCACTGCATTTAGCAGCAAACAGTGAGACAATATAAGGTCACAGCTATTACTTTACGTATGCCTCTTTTTAAGGGGTTGTTCACCTGAATTACTTTGACATGTCAACTGTAATAGTTCAACACATGCAAGAACTAATTTACAGTCAATTTTAGAAAGGCTCAGAGTTTCAGGTGTGAGTAAACACTTGTTTTTAGAGATTTAACTGCATATGCATGTAGTACACTAAAATAATGAAGGATTTCTTACAAAGTTACTTAATTCTGTAACCACCTTGTGACATTTGACTGGTATTGTTTACCAAATTAAACTCATTTTACTGGGTTTTGGGGTATTTGGGCCCATGCAAAAATCTAAATGACAGATTTCCATTTTAAGATTTCATACAGAGTAATGAAGATGCACGTTTGCAAATGAGCTGATGTTCACCATTTTATTAACTCTGTGAACATAATTTGCTATCAAATCAGTAATTTCTATGGGTACCTTGTTAAGCAGACACGTTTTCCTTCTCTGTATTGTCTGCTGAAACTAAGATTAACCCTTTTGGTAGAAGTGATGATTTAAAATTAAGTCATAAGAAAATCAGCTTTCAGTATTAACCACAGATAAATGTGACATATGTCACTATGCACTATGAATTTCTTTTGTAAGGAAGAGATTCACAGAGTGGTTAGGGTTGGAAAGGACCTTAAAGATCATCTGGCTCCAACCACCCTGCCAGAGAAATTGTCTTGAATCAAATGAAGGATAGGTTCTATGACCATACATAATTGTTCCGTGTTGTTCTTATATGTCTGAAATTCCCTATTTTGACTGTAACAGCTTTTGATAAAAAGCAAAATATTATAGATCAAAAACTGTAGGGAGAAAGAAGTCACGAGGCATGCGACTGGCCTGAGAGAAGAAATGTTTGCACATTGTGCAAATTAAATTCTTATTTTCAACAGCTAAACTGTAGAAAGGATGCTAAAATTTGCCCAGTATATGCCTTGTAAATAAGATGCATATGACTTGATATTCTAAGACAGCAGATGGCCTGTTAAAAATATCATTATCATAGAAGTCTTGAGAATTTTTCTTTGAGCCACTTTAAAGAACTATCAGTGAAGTTTCTGTGGTAGGCAGAGAAAACTGGGGGTTTCTGATATACGGCACAAATAATTATTTTGAAATAACCTGAATCTATCCAGAGGAAAAAGCCTTTGAAAACAGAGATGATGGTACCAGGAAACATTAGCAAGTGACCTTGCTGTTTTTAAAGGTATTGCATTATTATAAGATACTGTGGCTTTATGTACATTGTAACAATGGTTTATGTAAGTCTTACTTTAATATTACAGCTATTTCATGGAAAAGGCCAGTCTTCAGTCTTGGATTTGCCACCTATTGCTTTTACACCACCATGCCAGATGTTTATTGGGATAACAGTCTATTAGCGTATTGCTGATTGGGCATGAAGAAAGGCTGAAGATCACTTCAGGTATTTAATGCCACTTTAGAAAACTCAACTGTTTGTACAGGTAGCAATAACTTCCCAAGAGCTTCACTGGTCAGAATAACAAACACCAAAGTTATAATTTCAAATTCCTCAGGCACCATTTTACATTGCTACAGCACAGAAATGGTCCTAAACTGACTTTAAATATGATCTGTTTCTTACTGCTCTCTTTTCATCTATTTTATACTCTCAGTTTCTTGTAAGCAGCCCAACAGTAAAAGTGCATTTATGGTGAAGGTTCATACCTAAAGTGAACTCACTCTAAAATTCTGAGGAAAAATATGATTTAATTTTTTGGCTTAATATAAGAGGTTTAATAAATGAAGATAACCAAAATTTCTGAAGATGAATGACCAACACTTGCACAACCAACATTTTAGAGTATGTAGCCAAAACCTATACACAATAAACTAGATGAATGTTTAATATACATATTTTTGGAAGATGTATTGGCCTCCCTTTCCAGGTATTCATCAAAGCAAGCATTTAACAGTATAAAAACCTTAATTTATATGTGATCATCCTGAAAAAAAAGACAAGTGCCTGAAAGACAAGCGTCTGTCTCAAAACCATCATATTACATGATGATATAGAATCAGAGAATGGTTTGGGTTGGAAAGAACCTTAAGATCATCTAGTTCCAACCCTCTGCCATGGGCAGGGATGCCGTATACTAGACCATGGTGCTCAACACTGTCCAGCCTGGCCTTGAACTGTGCCAGGGACGGAGCATTCACAAATTCCTTGGGCAACCTGTGCCAGTGCCTCACTACCCTCACAGTAAAGAACTTCTTCCTTAGGTCTAACCAGAATATATAAATCTATTGTAAGTTTGTCCAAAAAGTAATCTGATAGCACATTGCTACCCTTACAGAACAATAAAAATCATGTCAGGAGTGTGCATAGCAAAGGAAATACTTCTGGGCTTACCAGTTTAAAACAAACAAACCTACAATCAAATAATTATTTAGCAGAATAGATTCAGTGGGTAATAAAATATTCCCCTAGAAACAGACCCCTAGGGCAGTGCCCATCAGTTCAGCACTGAATATTTTGGCTTCTGAAGGGGTGGAAAGAAGCTGGAGGGTAGAACTAGAATTGTTTTTATAATTCTTCACAATGACATTTTTATTGTCAAACTGTGATATAAGAACAATTTAAGTGTTACAGCATTTGAGTTATGTTCTTGATTTTAAAACCATGTGTGCATAATGATGATTTTATACATTTTCAGCACTTAACTTACACGCCAGAAGCACAAACCTTACTTTGGCATCCATTTAATTCTGATGCTTACTAAAGTGATTAAGTTTAGTCAGTGTAGTTGGATATAGTCACCAATAAAGCCTAATACCCATGTTAGGCAAAGATTATGTCATATGAAAGAAATCCTTTCAATAAAATCACACAAAAAGACCTCTGAAAATACCTCAGAAGAATGGTGTAATTTCTTATATAAAATGTTGAGTAACAAAGTCAACAAGTTAATGCACAGTATTAATGACTGCTGCAGTATTAACTTACCTGCTTGCTGTTTTTACAGAGCTGTTTTTCTTGTGTCCTCTCTCTGAGCGGTTGTCTCGCAAGAGCTGAAGCTATTAAAAAGAAAGTTCACAAGCAAAGCCTTTATTTCTTTCTAGAAATTTTACCCTGACAATGCCATTCTTTCCCCTCTTAAGAAATATATCAATAGTTTTGCCCCAAGACTGTAAAAGGGATGGATATTAATAGGATTTTACAGTAACAGAGAATATTTCAGGATACATCCACCAAGTAATTGAATATGCAAAAGTTAAATCATTCTCAAAGCATATTAATATGCAATTCACAATTTCACAACCAACACATCTGTAAAATTTTATGATTTTCACAATTTCAATTACCAAAATTTTATAATTAAATATGTTGAAGAACACTTAAATTATGAAAAACTATTCAGGCTGGCACTTGTACCTAAGCAGTTATGAAACAGTTATAAACTCTTCTAAGCCCCAGGAGCTTTTGTAATTTGGAAGTTGCAGAATTAACAAAACCAGGGTATTAAAGCTTCCCAGAATAGTGGGGGAGTAGGAATAATGAAGGATTCATTTAACTGAAATGGTGAGTCAGCTTCTGAAACAAGCTCCTATTTATTCTTTTTTTTATTTTTAGACAAGGATGGCTTTTCATTCAAACTATCTCCAATACTGAGAAATCTATTTCCAGCATTATATTTGTCAGCATGAGTAAAGCAGCAGTGACAGTAAAGAACAACTTTACTGTTGCGTTGTAGTGTCAAATTTACACCAAAGAATTTAAAACCAGACAGTATAAAAACTACAAATATTTCTTGAATCTATACTGAAGAAAGTATAGACTGAAAGACTGTTTTAGACGCAGATTACAGGTAAATGGATCTAATATTCACTGCAAACACATTTAAAAGTCCACTGATAATTAGGAAATTATGAACTTTATGACTTGGCCAATGTGTTGCACATGAGTGTGGACTCCAAAAAATTTACACCTATCTATAAAATTGCATTTGATTAATTTGTACCCAGCTGGCTACAGCTAGCTTGCCTGTATAAGGAATGCTCCTCATCATTTCCACTATCTAGCTCTCAGATGCAGTAAAATTGTCCAGTCTGGTTTTCAAAGGCAATCTGAAGACTATACAAAGGTAAGGCAACTTATTCTGATATATTTTTGTAAAATAACATTTCCATTTTCTTAACATCAATGAATGAGAGTACTTAAAATTCATATTTAAATGTAGTCACAATTTTTTACCCATACAAAGACTGGCTAAGAAAATCGGGGCTGTTCAGTCTGGAGAAGAGAAGCTGCATGGAGACCTCATAGTAGCATTCCAATATCTATGGACCTTTAGTCTTAAATTTCAATGCAGTGATGATATATTCAGCTACTTTTACTGAACAGTTAAAGTTAACTACACATTAATGAAATAAAGCCAGACTTACTTTCATATTTTATAGTTCCTGGACAGTATGTTCTGTTTAGACCTTACTACCATCCATAAAGTAAGGCATGTCTCCATGTCTGAAGACAAACTAAAGAAATAAGTGCCATGTTGCTAAACAAATATTAAATATGCCTTCACATTCCCTCTACCACATCTCTAGCTTGGACCTTCTAGGGACTACACTGTAGGGATAGGGACTCAGTAGACAAACTGGTGGCATGGCTTCACCAACATCTTCACCATGATGGAGACTTTACAGTTCTTTTTTACTGCTGTGGTTGTTTTAACCAATGAAATGCAGAAAAATGGAATTGAAGATCTTCCTGTAGAGGCCTGCCTGCTCTTGTCACTGCTCTGCATTTCTTGATTTTGTGAGCATTTTGAGAAACACAACATTTGGAGACCTTGCAATTGACAAACTCATTAAAAAAAATAAATCAGACTTCTCACTGAACTTGATAAAACTCAGAAGATACTTAACTGGAATTAAGTGACTAATTAAAGATTCTTAATCAAGGTACTTTCTGAAAGGCACTGCTGTTAATATGCTTCCTTACAAGAAAGTGTGAAATCATATCTGTTTTGTTTATAGTAACTTAAAGTACTAGCCCACTACCTCTGGAGTAGAGGTAGTTAAATTCCTTTATGCATCTCAAGTAAACTGCTCTCAATCAAAGCAGTTCTTACCTGGCTATGTTCCTTCCTAGCCCCAGGGCTAAACCAGTGGCTGTGGGAGAAAAAGAAAAGACAGGTTTAACAATATAACTAACAAAGCACATGCTGTCATATGACCAGTCCGTGCGTGCTTTTGAGTATTTTATTGTCTGCCAGGAAAATACAGCCTTTGGCTATGCTTTATTTTTATGGGATATTTTTATTGAACTGTCTAAGTCCATAACAGTTTTGAAAGAATGCACCACAAATTTCATTTCTGAGCAGCTATTGGCTTTACAGGTAATTATACTTTGTCGAACAAGCGAAAGTTTTATATAAATGATAGTATTTTAAGAGACTGTAATGAATGTGCTATAAATAAAAGCAATTACATATTTAGTGCTGAAGTGCTACTTATTAATGATTACAGCTGAAGAGATCTTTAAGAATTGTGGACTACCTGCTAGTTACATTGCATTATTTCAAAAACTGAGGTTTGAGTTTGAATCTAAAGTGAATTCAAAGTCTGTAAGTTCTGTGGATTAGTATCTCTATATACTTGCACAATTTTGACTATTGGCAGCCTTAATTCACAGACACACTGGAGTGCAGGGACAAGAACTCACAATGTGACTCTTCTCCCAGTAGCAGTAAGAACATATTAATACGAGTTCACACACACAATGTGATCAGGTAGAACTGAATTAACATCTGAATGCAGCTGTACTAAGCATTACACAAACCTGAGACAAATCTTGACACTTGCAAAATGAAAAGGAGAAAGAAAAAACAATTAAAACAAGGGGGATCTGAAATTACATATTGCACCTATATATTACTCATGTAAGCAATAAGTTTTGGGCAATGGATAAAAGGATTCCAGCCATTAAAATACTGCACAAAAAGACCATCACATTGTCTGCTGTTAAGCTTTTATTGTGAGTGACCCAACAAATAAAGTCACAAACATCCAGAAGCTGAAGAAGACAACAAATATAATGGGCTAGATCTAAATTCCACATAGACAAGTATCTTGTCTCTGAGCAATGTCAACAGCAAATGCTCAAGGAAGAGCAGCAACTGGGATATCCTCTGTATAAGCTCTGCTGGTTTGAGGCAAATCAGTGGTTCACAGACTAAATTATTAGTAAACCATATTTCTATTGAAAAAATATATTGAAATAATTTGAATGCCTCTCATATTTAGACATTAAAAACCCTTCATAAAGAATAAGACCTCTTGTAATGAGAAAGCAATATTCACATCATGCTGATTTTTATGATTTTGTCCATTAACTTACAGTATTATTTATTTGTGATAATAAAATCAACAAAAGTAAACCCCATAAAATACCAACCGAATTACTTTATGGTACAAATAACTTAAGAAATCACGACCGCTTCAGTTAACACACACATTAGCAAGTTAAGTGGATCAGTAGCATAAAACAGTTGTTACTGAGGATTTGCTGTTTGCAGTATCTGCTCCTTGGCAAGTTTTGGTTTAAACAGTGGATGCTTCTAACAGAAGGTGGAACATAAAAATGTATCCCCAAATATATTATTTCCTAATCACGTGTGCCTGTGTTTTAAATTTCTGATGTGGAAAATATAGGAAAATTTAATCTTATTGTAATTATTCAAAAGAGATAACCAAGAAATAATGTTACTAAATGTTGTCAGCTGAACAGAATAAGAGTTTACAGTAATGGTACACTGGAGTAACTAAACAAACTGAAACTGCATGACATTCCCGGTTTACATGTGTCTAAACAATTAATTCAATGTCTTTTCGAGGAAATTATCATAACCTTATTCCTCTCATGATACATCATGTTTAAGACTCAAAGATGTGATGCTTGTTCATTTTCATATATGCAGGCTTGGTATTTCTGAATTTCCCTTTGGAGAAAAATAAAGCAGGTTTTTTAAAAAAACCTGTATTTGTTATCTAGCCTTAAAAAGGCTGCATTTTAAGAAAGTATACACCTAGTAAGTTAATAAAAACACATTTGCAAAGCACTGAAGTCCCCTTTTCCTTAAGAAACACAAAATGAATTGCAAATTATTATAAATACTAAAATTTAAATATAAATAAATATTAAATAAAAATAAAGATTGTAACTGAGTTCAGGCTCTTTTATCATGTTTGTACAGTTGTAAAACGTGGCTTCAGGACAGAGATAATACTGTAAATCAAACAACAATAATAATAGTAGTAATACTAATAATAGTAGAATATAATATACTAATACTGCTGCTACTACTACTACTACTAAAAAAACCCTTATAACTCCCATCACTGATACTCACTCATGGTGAAGACAATCCTGGGACATGTGAACTGTTTTCCTGCTACCGCCTGGTCCTGGAGTTATCTAATGGCAAAAAAAAAACCCAAATCTCTGAATCATGAGGCAGCGCATACAGACAGTGATTGTTTATTAAGAAAGCATCAGAAATACTGAATATAAACCAGACACAATACACTAAATACAGTAAATGCAATTAGAAATAGCTGCAATTTTTAAGTAAAGCCTGAATGCAGGAAGTGCTAAGCAAGATTTCCCAAAATCCTTTATGTGCAATCCGGATTGGATGTCAGATATCAGACACTGACAAATGTCAGGGGCCTAAGTTCCTTTTGAAAAGTTCACAAAGGATTTTATCTTCAAAAAATGAAAGTTAGATGTTTTGAAATTCATTACTTATGGATAATACAGCAATAAGTTTATTAAAAACCTTCCAACCTTTGTATTCCAGCACAAAGCTTCTGATATTCAAGTTGATGTAGGAGAGAAAGCAAAGATAAAATACTGTTTACCACACTGTACTGCAGTCCTTGTCTAGTGCTTTATATATACTGAAACCAAAAAACTGTAATATGTTCAACTGAAGAATGATCTTAAGAATGCATGATAGCACATGCAGACTATAGCAGATGATTACACTCTGGTATTGCTCAAGAATGCATAAAAAGAGCTTTATTTTTATTTTTACAATCAGCTTAAATTGTCTGCACCTACAGGTAGGTAAAAGCAGCAGAATGAGACTACCTGATGAAACTCATGCCTGAAGAACCAACTATTCCTGTTGGAAACAAGACAGGAAGAAATTTTCAATTCCTGGGAGATAACTTTATTGTCAGTAGATGACCAGAGGTTGGAATGAAGTCAGATGTTCTGCCAGTTTTGAAAGGAGACCACAAAACCTCAGTAATACATTTGGAAGGCTCAGGCTTACCAAAAGTACATAGGCAGAAGATTCACAGATAAAAGCAGCCTACTCTTCATGAGAAGAACTATGTGCTCAACATTTAAAGGAAAAAGTCCCTACTCATCTGGTGTCATAATGGATAAAAGCCGGGACCGTTGAAGTTCCAAGTCTTGAAAACTTTCAAGGACACTCACTGAATAATTTGAGAGCTCCATATGGTTAAAGTATTTGACCAAAATTAGCTCCTTTGACGTGAAGAATGATGTCACTTGGGGCTGAACTGAGAAACCCATAAGTGGTGTCATTTTTCTGGCTGCTGGTGATTGAAAGGAATTGGTAATACCTTACTGCAGGAAAATCTATGCAAGCATACAAATCTCTAGTAGAGGAAATCATGGCAGCTACATGGGAGAAGAGCACGTACAGCTTTACCTGCCTTTGGAATTTACTGTTTGATTAGACTTATTGAGACCTTACAGAGTCACATAATATAATAGTAAAGTCATAAAGAAATAATAAAACAGTAATCAAATATTACTATCTCAGTGTCATAGTCCACCTAATAATGAGAACGAGAAATGTCAATTCATAAAGAGAAGAAGAAAAATGAACAAGTATTTAATATATATTTTCCAAATTTTAAGATTAATAACTAAACTGTTACTTTAACACTATAGGTAAACATGTAGCTCAGCTCTTGAGGGTTACATCCTGCATTAATCTCAAAATGAGGTTTTCATGCTATTCCAGTGGGTATCCCTGGAATACAGTAATCCATTTTCTACACTGTGGCTATAAGAAAAGCCAACTGTGCCTATGTCATGCTTTGTTAGAGGTTCATGATCACATTATCTCATGGTGGACCTGACACTTTTATTCAGTTTACAGTATGTTCTATGTAGAGGCAACTTATTTCCTTTGCCAGGGCTGCTGACAACCTTTTCCACACTATATTAATCTTGTTTACAGACTTTATCTTGGTACAAATATCAGAAAACTAAACTTTTTATCTCAGGGAGAAAATAAACAACATGTTGACAGAGGCAAAAGCTATTTTCTAGGCTAAAATTGGTTGTTTACCTGCAGCCATACTTATGGAAACAAGTTTAAGTTTCCAGTTTACTCAAAATACATAATCTGAAATATAATAAGCATGGAAATTTCAAGAAAAATCACTTGATAAATTGCCAGTTTTAAACTAATATCTAAACCACAGAAATATGTTTTTCCACTGAATTATAAGAGAATATGAACTTGCTTGGAATACAGTTATGACTGATCAAAGCATACTGCTCAGGTTTCTCTTGCACACCCCAGATCGCTTCAGTTAACCAAACAGCCACAGTATATCTATAAAACTAAAGTTAATAATGCATAAATAGACATCTTTGCATAAAACTGAATGCTGATTATTGTACGTTAATGCTAATGAATTTCTGTTTGTAAAACTCATCTAGGGTATCAAAAGCCAAAGCAAACCCTAATATCTATCTTCATCTCCATCTCCTAGCTCTCTCACTGCCAGAAAAATCTACTCCAAAGATCTGCTGAGTCTCCACAGCAGAGAGAAGCAATTGATTTGGAGCAACACAGAAAACAAAAAAAAACAAACAGCTTTCACAGTATACATTACTGAATCACTGCCATAGCTTGACATTACCATTACATTTTTATTCCCTCTACAAGCACACTCTTGCTGAAGGGCCCAAACTGACCATTCCAGAGAAGCACATCTTGAATGTAGAGGTTACCTTTAAGTGATGCTCAAACTCCACAAAGTCTTCATGTAGCTATGGTTCACTGGCTGAATAGTTCACACACTGTTAAAAGAGTTTTCTCTACATTTCTTTTCACACAACTGATCAAAATACCTCTCCTCATGTACAGTTTCCTACTGAATGATTAACACATGGAAAATAAAAACTACGGTGTCAGAGATTAAAAGTCTGCTATTGAGCACTGCTCTTTCAGAGAAACAGGGAAGTTTTAAATCTCATGTTTCAAAGCAAAATAGGGAATTACTTTTTAAATCTTTACTATAACACAGTTTTTCTCAGCCGCTTTTAAGATAGCTATAAATGTAAAACAAAACGGACTATTGAAAAGAGACTGGCCTGGATGTAAGCATGGTTGTTTGTTTTAAACAGCAACACTAGCAGAAAATATCCATGTTTTGTCCTAAATCTTTTTCATACACTAGCTTTTATATACTATAGAATAGGTAAGAGAATAAGTTTAATGATGCATTTTAATGGTATACATTGGTGCATACATACTGCCTTTAGGTATGTAATATGGTAACAGTGGAGGAGTTATTAAAACAGAGAAAATAAATACTAGCGGATAATGGAAAAAAATTACTTGGCCTATGGAGAAAGCAGGAGGTAAAGCAGAAAGTGTATGTGTTCTACCTGCAAGGAAGTCAGTAGGAGAGTTTCTTTTGAGACTCCTAATATTTAATATGAAATAATACTATGTGGCAGCACTGCTCCAACAGCAGCTCACAGCTCCTTGATAAAAGGTGAAGTTCCTCAGGACTGGACAAACACACGCATAGCACCACTACTTCAATGTTCTATACTAGGTAAAATGGTGAGGGCAGCTCTCTGAATTGTATTAGACAACTGTATTACGGCAACAAAACAATGGCCAAAATGTTGCTACTTCATTGCTCTGTAAATAGCTAACAATTAACAAATTTTATTGAAATGAAACTTAATTTCCTTCAGTACAAAGAGCTATTAATTAAATCCTGTAGCAATATGCTGCATATAAAAGGTCTTTATTACATTTCAGCTGTCTGTTTGGATATAAAACTTATTCTTAGGGTGACATCGTAGTTTCCCCTAAGTGAACAGGATGTTGATTTCAGTAGTGCTGTGACTGTATCCTTATTAGTTAAGAATGATCTAAAATACTGACATCATGTTTTTACCTGTAAAATTATCATCAAGTTACCCACCCGGTGATACAGACAGGAGGAAACAGCAGAGCACTGATCAGGATACCAGCCTTGACCCGAGATGCAGGTTCAATTCTTTGCTCTGCTGCAGGTTTGCAGTTTTGACCTTGGGAAGTTGTTTCCTACAGCTCAGCTCCCCATTTGGGAAACATGAAAAAAACAACCCATGCAAACAAGACACCTCTCTGTAATCTGTAATAGTTTTTCCTTACTTCATTAATGTAATATAACGTCAGTAAAGACTGTACCAACAACAAAGGATGTCATCAAAGCATTTCCTTTCAACTGATTAAGGTACGATACTGAAGGTGATTTTTATTCCTACCGCCAAAGGACTTATTACAGGAAACAGAAAAAATGTCAATATTAAATGCATTTACATATATAAGCAGAATAACTCAGAACTCTTTGCAGGTACAAGTTATACTCTGACAGTTCAGAGCAGCATAAGCTTGCTCAGAGTGGATTAAAAAAGCTATGCAGCAACAAACCCCCCATTTTCAAATCACCGCCCAGCTTCAGCAGCAAGCTATGAGTGGCCTCTACTGGCTGACCAAAGGCTACAGAAGTCACTAAGCTTATGCTATGAGTTACAACTGTGGCTATCAAACGTGTGAGGAAATGTTAACAGAAAGAATCTTCTTGTCAGTGCTAAATAATTCACGCTATGGCTAAAAATTAAAAGCAAACATCAAATGAGTGAGACAACAGACAGTAGTAAAAATGCCTTTAATACTGGCGCTTCTATGATTTGTCAAAATATACTCTTGTGAATATATACATGCAGAAGTCCTTTTCCTAAAAGCTGATTATGGAATTCAGCAGGATATACTGTGCTACCTGTAAAGGTGAAACAAACCTTAAACTCAAATATTTTATAATTTGCTTATATAGCATATACTTTGATTAATACTGAATTATTTCAATTATGTTATCAATGGTTTGATTTCAATGCGCAGTTAGAAAGACTTGCATCATCTGAGATGGTTTGAAAACAGACTATGTAACTATAACTTTCACAAATGTGCCTTTTCCTTATTTATAAAGTTGAAACCACTAAAATACAGAATAATAAAAACCCGAAGTATGAAAGTCTACGATTTCCTCAAAGTACATAAAAATCATATTTTAGTAAGAAAAAAGGAGAATAAACCATTTTTCTTTTTTTTTAAACACAGTAATTGTGGACACCACAACTTG